CTCTTTTTTTTATTTATTAGACATGTTTTTCCCTCCTTTGTATAGTTTATGAACGGGAGATGCACAGCTGTATATGGCATTCCACTGGTGGGCTGCTGATCTGTGGGGAAACAAGTGAAGTGTGGGGAGAAGAAGGCAGGTTGTATAATGTCAGTGTCCATTATCATCAGCTCCACTGGCGTTAAGAACTGCACTTCAACCACAGTTCTCTTCAATTTTTTTTTCCTATTTCCACCTTAATTTTCAGCTCTCGTGAATCATTTTTAGTGACAGGAAAAACACCATCCTTTGGAATATTTATTTCTCAATTCCTTAAAGAACCCAAGCAAATTGGAAAGAGAAGCCAAGTTTTTCCTCTTATTTTGCTCCTCTTTTTAATTCTTATTCATCATTCCTTATTTTAAAACTTGTATATTTTATGAATTTTTGTTATTTTTTTGGTGGGGAGGGTGGGAGATGAAATGTAGCCATTTTGTTTTTCTGATATTTTATTAAATGGACACTTGAAATGTAATTGGCCCCTAAGCTGCTCCTAGTGCTGAGCTTCGCCTGTTTAGAGTCACCAGCCTTGCCCAGAGCTGGCTCCCCCGCTTTCTAAGCTGTGCCTGTGATGATCACCTGGACAGGGTGATAGACAAAATGGCTGACCCTCCATGCTCGGCCTTGTGTTTGGGTCTGTGCTTGGGTGGGGGTGGGGGGTCTTTGCACAAGGCTTATTGATAGCCAAGACTTGACTGGCAAATATAGAGCCAGCTACTACACAATAGAAGGGGTCTAAAGCTCCACTTTCCTTTATTAGGAAGATCGTAGTCTCTAGTAAACTTTTTAGTTGACAGATTGTGTCTTACATTACAAGGCCTCTGACTGAGGAAAGAAAGAAATAACAGAGAACAGCTCCTTCGGTTTCTCCAAAGGACATCCCTAAAGTGTAGAGTTGTGACATGTGCAGAGCTCTGTTGAGGTTTTTAGACTGGGCACTGAATCAGAAAGTCACCACTTCTGGTGCTTGATTATTTTAAATGCCAAAACCACCTCAGAACACCTCGGTGTCCTCTCTCTCTTTACCTCTCTCTCTACTCTGAGGGACAGTTTACATTTATTCTGCCCCTGTTTAAGTTATTAACCATCTCCTCTTTGTTTCTGTTTTCTTCTTCATGCATTGGTTTTATGAAACCTGCATTGCTGACAGACAGAAGGTCCTTTCTCTCCTCGTGCAGACCTGGATCAGACACTTGTGTTTTAACCTGCTCGGGGTACAAAATATTTTTACTACACTGGGACAATTCTGATAGTGCCGGGTCTATCTGGCACTAATTGTATTGTCTCTCGTGGCTCAGTACTCTGATGGCATATTCCAAAATGGGATAAAACAAACTATAAGATCAGACTCGAGCCAGGTCTGTCCTCTCTCATGTGAGTATATGGCGGGCATGTGTGTTATGTGTGTGTGCTGTTCTTACTAAGACTGAGCTTTAGAAAGGCACCAGGTTCACAGCCTGCGTGCGCTCGGCTGCTCAGTAAACGTCAGACTGCTGGATAGTATTTGTCGTAAAAAGGCAAGTCTGTCCTGTGTGAGACATAATAACTGGGAGTGTAGACTGTCACTTAAACTGCAGCTATGATTTTGCAGTGAATGCTAAGAGAGCTACTGGTCTAGAATCAGCCCAGGTTAGCATGGAGGTCTGATAGGGAGTTTCTGGCTAAGCTGCAAATTCAAAGCAGAAGCATATCTTCATAAGCTGGTGATCACAAAGCTATATTTTTACCTCTGTGTTTAAGGTTAGCTTAGGTTTAGACATGTGGTCCTGACTGTGGTGCAGGTTGGGGCGAACTCTCCACGAGTGTGGTTCCAGTGTTGCAGGTGGGCCACAAGCATACCAGCCTGGCTGAGCTGAAGTTGCGGTGTCTTTGGTAAACCACACTCCATTCTGGTGTCTGTCTCTCAAGAGATTGACTTTGAGCAAACGGGTCCATAAGGGAGAGTTAGCCCAACCTGACGAGCAGTCCCACATAGGGAGTCCTCCTGTTGTTCTGAACCTGTGGCCATCCTTTGTAAAACATTCACTCTGATGATGAGTCTAAATGTGTAAATTGAAGATGCAGAATTTACAATAAAAACACCAAGATTTTCAAACCCAAATGACTAAAGCATCATGTTTATACCATGAAATATATCAGTCCTGAAGGTACTGTATGCAGTGACTCACAGTGATGTATACAGAAATCATTTTAAGGACTAGCTTTTATATTAGTCGTCGTTTTATCTTGTATCCACATCATTCCCACTGACTGCTTCAACTGCTCACAGCTTATGGACCAATGCAGTTGGTGAGGAGGGTCACAAGTTTAAGCTGTCATCAACTAAAAACAGGGAACCTTTAAACATATTATCGACATACCACAGAACAACCATTGACCATATATGAATTTATACAAGTAACTGATCGGCCACATTAAAACCACTGGCAGGTGAATCAAATATCGCTGACTAGCTTTTTAACAGCACTTGTCAAGAGGTGGAATATACACCATCATGCAGCAAGTGAACAGTCTGTTGAAGCAGGAAAAACGGGCAAGCGTAAAGATGTACAGGGCCAAACTGAGATGGCTTGACAGCTGGCTCAGAGCATCTCTCAATCAGATGGTATTGTAGGGTCAAAAATCTAAATTTGATTTCAGAGGGAGAAGGATTAAAATCATTGATGGAAAAATTGAATTTTTTTCACATTTTAGCTTGAAATTACATATTTTTATACCGGTTGTTTATATCGTCCAACACAATATCATCATAAGTGTTTTGGTGTATAATAGCATAGTAGTTTCTGGTTTGGGGTATTTGCAGCTTTTTGTTTTAACAGCTATTAAGATAAGCTGTCAGATGTGATGTCAAAGTTCACAAATGTCAGTAGTATCACTGCTATTCATAGCTGTGTGCAACGGTTATTTAATATTCTAATATTACTAATATTCATTCCACCTAACTGCACTAATAGTCAGCAGTCAGTTTTATCAAACTGAAGGTGTCACATATGTGTCAAACTGGTGTACAGTGCATGTTAGGCTAACTCCACATGTGCCTTAAATCTGTTGTAAAGCACCTGATGCCTGTGTGATCAGAGGAGCGTTGTGGGAGAGTCACACTTGTTTTTTCTCTTTAACAAGACCACGAGCATCCACACGTACTGTTCTCCTCAAGTGATCACAGCTTGTGAAAAACGATTGGAACTCACTGTAACTACAAATACCCTGGTCCAGATTACAACTTCACATCGCACTGATATTTCAGCACTGGTGAACATTGGCTCTGTCCATCTGTGGCGCTAATGATGCTAATAAAAAACATGTCACATCTCAAACTGGAAGCAAGGCTGAGAAGGACACGTTGTTTCGAGTGTGTAGGAGAAATGAAGGAAGTGAATGATTCATTGAATGTGTCTTTACTTACAGGTTTATGCTTTTAAAAACTGAATGCTGTCATGTGTATCAGCATCAGTATAAACAAATCATGGTGAGGTCTCCTAGTAAATCTGAAATTCTTACCTTTGGTTTTGAGGATCTGACATTAACCAGACTATTTTGAATATACTGTTAAGTAACAATTTAAAAGAAAGCCCATGCATTAAGCTCATGTTGGGTGTCCTATTGTATTTTTGAGAGACAGAATGTCCTTTCCTCCTTCTCCAGGACAGACGGTGCAGTAGCTGTGGGAGTCACCCACTCCCTGCTCCGCTGCCTGGTTTATCATAGCATGGTATTCAGTCAAATGCTGCCACCAAGAGTCCGGCCTGCCATCAACGCACAGCACAACGCTGATCAGCCACAACATTAGATCCACTGGAAGGTGACGTGAGTAACACTGGTTATCTTGTTACAATGACACCTGTCAAGAGGTGGGATATATCAGGCATCAAGTGAACAGTCGGTTCTTCAAGTTGATGTGTTGACACAGGAAGCATGGTGATCACAAACAAAAACAAAGTGCATAAAGCAAATCAGTGAAGCAGTAATGTAACAGAGTTTAACTCATGCAATGCTAAAACTGCTCTGTTATGAAGCAGTAATGTAACAGAGTTTAACTCTATGCAATGCTAAAACTGCTCTGTTACAGAAAATATGCTTCTTAAATTTAATCTTACTATGTTTTTATTTTAGAATTACACTTCTTTTGACCGACATCCCAGTGTCTGATGGCATTTAATGACAACAGTGGAGACTGAAGGCTAGTATGAAATAACATTAAAATGCACGAGGAGTGTGCAGATTCTCTTCAGCTACACTTTATTTCACCACTAGGCTGCACAACAGCACCACAGTTCTCATGGCTCCTATGTCAAAGAGCCTGTGTGAGCGAGAGCGTGAACACAAACGCAGGGTTTAGAATATTTTTCATGATGACCAGGACTGGTTGTCTTTCTGGCTACATGAGGTTTTTATGAAAATCAGGCACCAGAGGATGATTGAAGAAATCTTAAAAGGAAAACCATCAGTCCATGAAAACAGAAAATGAGACGTGAATCCATTGAATTCATAAATATGTTAATCAGCAGAAGTTATGCATATTGTGGGAGTTAAATGTGTTTAAAGTTTAAAGTGTAAAGCTTGAGAATACATATTGCCATTGTCACAGAAGACGAACCCTTCATTGAAAAGACGCCAGCGTTTGGTTTGATGCAGTTCAGCCTCTCGCTCTGAACAGCTGAGTGGTCCCAGTGTGAAGCTATTAATAGTACATACTGTACATGTTGACAAAGGATGCAGCACTATCAGCACACACATTTAACAAGAGAAATAACTGTCATAATAAAAAGTCAAAGTCAGACTATTCTGTTTAGCAGACAATTCTCTTGTTCTACATCTTGTTAAAGTAAACAAGGCAATACTTAGTCAGCTGTTTAAGGTCTTCAGACCACTGACTCTTTCCTTGCAGCCTCATAAACCAGCGTTTCCTGTAGACCAATTCTGCTGTGATTTACATAATCAC